GCTCTAAGCATTCTCTACACGCTTTTTGGTGAGCATAAGTGCGCATTTCTGTTAGCAATTCCACTCTGAGTTATGTTCATCTTCAGCAGAGGCTGCTGGTTGTCCAGAGTGGAGGTTCCATTTACATCCACCAGCAGAGTGTCCATTCCAGGTATTCCACATCTTTGTCGACCCTTGGTATTGTCTGTTTCATTTTATTGGGATCATTTTAGCAGCCGTATAATAGTGTGTCCTTATGGATGTTCCAGAACATTCTTATCTGTAGCTGGGCATTTGGATTGCTTTGTCATTATAAGTAATGCTACCATAAACGTCTTTGTCCAGTAATCTTTTCCATGCTCTAGATTATTGGTGAGAATTTTGTTATTGTTTACAAATTTTGATAAGTAATGCCAAATTGCTTTCTGAATGCTTGTACCACTCTCATGTTATCAACAATATAGGAGAGAGCTTTAGAGGTGCCCCAGGTCCTCCAGCAATGCGGGTTCTCATTAGAAGAACAAATCTCTTCTGGAGGACTAATTTAGATGAAGATAGGTGTATTTAGCATTGCCTTATTTAGTACTAATAAGTTTGTTTACCACGTGTATTCCTCTTTTATGGAATCATACCTTTTGCCCCTTGAATTTTTTAGTGAGCTTTTTTGTTAATTTGTACAAGTGTTACTGTTACTTTATGTTAGTTACTGTTACTGTTATATTAGTACAGGTACTTTCCTAGTTTTACCACTTGCATTGCATATTTTTGTACTTGTATGTCAAACCGGTGAGTCTTCCCCTGGCTGATTTATTTTTATTTTATTTTATTTTTTGGTGGTTGGCTGGTGTGGGGATCCAAACCCTTGACCTTGGTGTTATAACACTGAGTTCTAACCAAGTGAGCTAACTGGCCAGCCCTCCCTTGGTGATTTCTGCTGTGGCTCCCCTGCCAGGCCACTGCCCTCTTTGCTGAGATGCCCAGGCTGAAAGTCCCTGGGTGCCCCCAGTGGGAGGGATAGGAGCACAGCCTGCAGGAGAAACAGTCTTCCCGAGGGGCTGAGTGCACTGCTCTTGCTGTCCTTGGATTTCCAGAACCCAGCCCTTTCAGGTGGCTCATGAGCTGAGCCCTAAGGCATGCCACGATGGCCCCACAGCAGTGCTGGGCCTGGGTGTTCTGTTCTACAGGGAGGCGCCTGCGGGCCAGGCAGCAGCACCACAGTGTGCGAACCCGGTGGTTTGCAGGGCCCTTTCCTGTTATTGCACATTTGGTTTTCACTGTAGCCCCGTGAAATGGGTGCATTTAACCTCATCTTAGACACAAAAAAGCAGAGCTTCAGAGGGGCCTGCGGCTTTTTGGGTCCTGCAGTTTGTGAGCGGGAGAACTAGGACTCAGATTCTCATTTGCTTGTGTTCCCTAAACTGAACCTAGCTGACCACAGATCACCCCTGGAGTGGGGAGAGGAATGTGCACTTTCTCTTTCTCAGGCTTTTGGGTTTGAGCAAAACCTGTGTTTTTGAGCCAGAAGGTTGGATTGGAGTGTGGGGCTCGACGGAACATGGAGTAACTCTCAGCTTCCTCACATCTGTAGACACTGCATTCTCGGGAACTTTGTATGTGACCAGCTTGTTACATTTCTCATTTTCTGTTTTTAGGTGGTTGATTTGGATGTGCTTCTATGAAGAAATGCCACGTGTCTCCTCTGGTCTGACAACAAACATGTCTAGTAAGTTGCTTGGTGAATTACCTCGAGGACTGGCGCTCAGGGCGTTCAGGCGCAGAGGTGCGGGCACCCTTTGAGAAGGCAGAGGCGTCCCTGGGTATATGGAGACTTTTGAGAGGGTGTTTTAAACCAGGCTTATTGCTCAGTCTAATTAGCCTAATGTCTAAATGTTGCTTCCTTCTGGAGATAGCAGGAATTATATCACATACAGGTGAAAACTCATAAACCTGAAACTCACTTTCTGCTGCTTGACCTACCTCTAAGAGCATAGTGAGTTCCAGCTGCACCAGAGCGTCTGTCTGAGTTGGCCTGTGGTGGCATTTTGCCCAGAACCCGCGCAGCCCTGTCCACTTCAGTTAGGCATAGGTTATCACTTAGCTTTGCGGGAAAGACAGCCTGAGGTCAAGGTAGGTGTGAAGTTTATGTGGCTCCAGGAAGAAAGACAGCAGGTTGGAGGAGCAAGCTTCACCTCTCTGGGGTTCCATGGAGCTAGTGTTGCCTGCGGGTGGCAGATCTTATCATGCAGCTCCTACCCTCCTAACAGAGGTGTGGTGAATTAATTTAAAAATTTAAAGGTTCTATGAGACCCATCAACAGGAGAGCATAATAAAGCAAACAAGAAAATCTCAAAAGCCATATTCTATGATTGTATGTAAACCATCGTTGATTGTGGCATATCTTGGTTGAGGAGGATATGACTTTTTTATGGGCTCCCACAGGCATACTGGGTTGGGGAGGTGACTAGAAGGGGCGAAAGCAGCAGGCACTCCACCCCTTCTTCTCCACCTGCCCGAGGACCCTGGGCACTCATCTCTCCTGTGTTAGGCCATGTTCTCTGTGAGAGCACAGTATCTCTCAGTCACCACCCCTGTGGTTTCTTAACTGCGTTTGCTTCTATTTCTCAGGGTTACTGCCACCTTAGGGTACTAGGACTTGGTGACAGCCCTACCCAGAGAATCAGGTGTGGTCTGATCCAGGAACAAGAAGCACATCATCACCAATGACATCATGACAGCAAGAGAGCACAGCCCTCGCCATGGCGCCAGGGCCCGTGCGATGCAGCGTGCTTCCACCATCGATGTGGCGGCCGACATGCTGGGCCTCTCTCTGGCAGGTGAGAGTCACAAGGCCTGAGTAAGGCTCCTGGTACAGGCTTGCTAAGTGCACGTCCCACGCTGTGACAGTGCTGGGAGGGCCAAGCACCTGGTGGACAGACAAGAGGAGCCCTCTATGACTTGCCCCAGGTTGGAGGGTGCCCTGGGGTGTCATCTGTGAGAAACACCCTCATCCATCCAAGGCCAAGGGATGGACACGGAGACAAAGGTACAGCGAAGCGAGACTTTAATTATGGCCTTGCAAGGTTCGGGTGTCTGACGGGCAGGCACACGGAAAAGGGCTGTAACAAGCAATTTATTTCCTAGTGTGCAAGTCCCTGACCCACCTCTTCATAGGTTGGGGTACACAATCTTCCCGGATGACATCTAAGATGTCAGTTTACTACCCCCTTGTAGGAAATTTCTTTGTTTGAGGGCTCAGGACAAGCCCTTGAAAAAGGCCCACCCAAAGCCCTGTGAAAGGAGAAACTTTAGGAAATGAAGAGAACAATATAGGGCTGTTAACTCATTACCATCTCAAGGACAACTTTATCCATTTGAAGTAAACAATTAAGGGCTGGTAACTCATTACCATCTCGAGGACAACTTTATTCAGCGACCCGCCCCCAAGAATGGGCTGGACCAGTCAGACAACTTTTGGGCTGGACCTGCTGAATTATTTCTGAAAATGAATCACTTAGGTTATTTTCTTACAGCATCCTTCTGGTGGAACTGTTATGGCCAACGTCCGATGGGTAAAAGAAATTTGCCCACGAGAACCGGGTGATAGGAAAAGCAAAAGAGTTTATTTCTGGCAGCCAGGGCTACGCAGGCCAATTGAAGTGCGCAGCCCCGAGTTGAAACCTCTCGCAGCTTTTATTTTTAGCTCGGCGGGAATTTTTCGCACCTGTCACAATCTAGCCAATGCAAGCAAGTCAGCGATACATAAGCTAATTTTGTGGGTAGCCCTGTAGCCCCTCCCCACCCTGGATTCCCCATAGGGACTTTTCAGGCTAAAATGGCAGAGCCGCCTAAAATGGCGTTGGCCCTGTTACTCTGTTTATTCCCCCATTTATTTTAGCAAGCGACTTGTACAGAAGCAGAATGCATACGTTAAGGTCAGTAGGGGTTGGGGCGTCCCTTAACAGAACCAGGAAATAGGGAGGGGGAAATCGGCGCTCTTCCTGGAAACTGCTTCAGTTTAGGTGGGCGCCTCAGGGCTCATCTGCCAGTAGGTAACATGGGAGGGTCCACAGGGCCTGTCTGGCAAGTACCAGGCCATGATAGAAGCCCTCTCTGTCACGGGCATACAGACCCATGGAGGAGAGGGGTTTGGGCTTGGGGTCTGAGACTTCTTAGGAGTATCAAAAGGAAAATAATTAGGAAAGTGAGAAATTATCTTGCATAACAGTTTTTTTTTGGGGGGGGGGGAATGTAGAGTGTCGGTTTTTTGGCATCAAGTGTAAAAATAGGGAAATGTTTATTAAGGGTGATTTTTCTGTCCTTTCTTTTTTATCCAGGAAATATACAAGATCCAGATGAGCCCATTTTAGAATTCAGCTTAGGTAGGTATCTTTTAAATTTTTTTTTGTTTTAAAAAATACGTTGCTTAAAAACAAAAACACTTCCACTGGCACAGGTTTGTCTCAAAGAACTTGCTGCTGCAGCCACCACTGCTGAAGTGTTTCTGAGAAGATAAGGCCATGATGCAGGTGTGAGCTTCCTGTGTGTCTCCTCAGCATGGGCCCACCCTCCCATCTGGGGTGTGCTCCCCACGGGCTGGCAGTGGCCAGGATGGGAGGTGAGCCCCCACAAGAGCAGCCAGCAGAGACCGCTTCGCTTCTCTCTCCCTCCTCCACCCCTCTGGGAGAGGGCAGGAGGGGTTGAGAAAACTGGGCTTAGGCTCAGCTTTGTTGCCCCATGGCTGTGCAGGTTTGCATGGTTGAATTTAGCTCTCTAGCCCTCAGTTCTTGGGTTCATACTCGGTAAAGGATGGCAATAACACCTGCTTGCTCTCTGTCTCGGTGAGGATCAGATGAGAATACATTAAAAACTGGATTAGAATGTGCTGTGACTGGAGTCAGGGAAGTGAGGCTACTGTGGCTCCAGGAGGCCGGAGAGCTGTGGGAGGGATTCTGCCTGAGACATGTCTCCTCCAGAGCCTGGTGCTGTCCAGGGCTCCTGTCCCCTTCTTCTGTCCCTTGGTGGTGGTCAGCATTGGTTGGGGGCCTAACAATGTCCAGGAGGTGATATGACGTAAAAGAGGTACCTCCTGGTGAGTCAGGTGACCTGGATTCTAGTCCCACCTGTGCCAAACTAACCACACAGCCTTGAGCCTGCCACTTGACCTTGCCAGGCCAGTTTCCTCATGTGCTAGGTGGGGGTGTTAACTGCGCATTTGAGAGACAGAGATCAAGGTGTTAAACCCTTCTTCCCCACATAAAAGACTTGGACAAATTGTAAAACCCATAAAAGTGTGAGTACATTATTATCAAATTGATATTAAGTTCTGAAAATGTCCCTATTTCAGATTAAATGCTCCTAATGTACTATGCCGTGTAGTGGGAATGCGAGGTTTGGGGAGAATCAGCCTTTAACCCTCCTGGGATTCCCACACACCTGCTTTGCCCCCTGTTAGAAGGACCGTATTGCTTATTAAAATGACAACACCAACTCCACGGAGTTCACTTTCGTGACAGCAGAGTGAACATATCGCCAAATACCCCCTTATCTTAAATTATCCCAAACATCAGGACACATAGAAACAAAAATACAAACTCCAAGCAGTGAGACATTTTTGCAAACCCCAAATGTGACCTGGGAGGAGGGAGCAGATGGGGAGCAGGTCATACCTACATGTGAGAGTGGTGGAGGCCAAAGCAGAGGATTTGCCCTAAAGGCACTGGGACAGTCTGCCACACCCCCTCAGCCCTGCAGAGACCAGAGGTTTATTCTCTGGAGAGACTTCAGAAGCAGAAGGCTCTGATGGGTACATCAGCCCAGAGCAGAGGGGGCCAGATAGAAGCGAGGATTAAGCTGAAGTCTTTTTTGAATACCAAACTTCCCCCACCTTCCAACCTTCCTCCATCCTAATTCTGCCAGGCTTATGCCTCCAGGCAGGGGGTTCTTCCTCTGGACAAAGTAAACCACTCACTCCCCACAAAGACATACTAACCTTCGGGAACCCAGCCAATCTCCATCCTAATTCTGCCAGGCTTATGCCTCCAGGCAGGGGGTTCTTTGTCTGGACAAAGTAAACCACTCACTCCCCACAAAGACATACTAACCTTCGGGAACCCAGCCAAAAGCAGGCTGCCAGCCACCCGGGGACTGTTGTGGAGCACACCTAGGACCCCGTGCACACTCAGCATCAAATTGCCTTCCAGTACCTCATTCTTAAAAACAAGTGGACATTCGCCCACACACAGATTGGTACACAGATATGTTCATTGCCTTTATTCATGTTCATCAGCAATAAAAGTAAAGAAACTGGTATGCATGTGGTGGAATACCACTCAGCAAGGTGGAGTGAAGCACTGATAGACAGCCACATGGATGAATCTCAGAAGCATTATGCAAAGCAAAAGAAGCCATACACAAAGGCTGTATGTTGTATGATTCCATTTTTATGAAAATAGGAAGATTAATCTATAGTGATAGAAAACCTGTTAGTGTTTGTCTGGGACTGGGATGGGGGTTGACTGGAATATGGGGGACAGGGAATTCTTTGGGGTAGTGAAAATGTTCTGTACCTTATCAAAACTCATTGAACTTTACACTTACAAAGGGTACATTTTGTATAAAGATTATGCCTCAAAATTGATTTAAAACAAAATGAAAGAATAGTCAAAGATCACTAGACCTATGTGGAAGGCCTACAACATGAAAGAAAAAAAAAAACAGGAAAAGTAGAACTTGAAAGAAACTGAGATGTTGCAGAAAGTAGAAAATGTCAAAGAAATGATCATTTAAATACTCAGGAATAGCCATAAAACAAGAACAGGATACTATAAAGAAAAAAGAGCAGTTGAAGAAAAGGACAACCTTAGAAATTTAAAATATGATAAACAAAACTTTTAAAAATTTAATGAAGTTTAGAAGATATTCAAGGAATTCTCCCAGAAAGTAAAAATTTTAAAGCAGAATAGAAAATGGGTGAGAAATAGAAATGGAAAATTAGAGAGTAAATCCAGGAAGTTCAACAACTAGAAGAAAAAAATAGAAAAGAACATAAAGGAGGAAATTACCAAGAGATAATACGGAACTAAAGAATGTGTTTCTAGATTAAAAATGCCTGCCAAGGCCCAGCAAAACATCATGGGGAAATTTCAGAACACTGGGAGTAAGATGAAGATCCTAAAAACTTCCAGAAAGAAGGAATAGGTCATACCCAAGGATCAGGAATAAAACTGGCACGGAACTTGTCAGTGACGCTGGAAACCTGAAGACAGCGAGACAAACACCTTGGAGTACATTTTCAACTTAGAATTTTCTCCCAACCAGACTGTCAATCGTACGTGAGGGAAAAAAAGAAACTTATTCCAGCTATACAGACTCTCAAATAAATTTATTTTTTCTATATCTTTTCTTTGGAAGTTAGTGGAGGATGTGCTCCACCCAAAACAGGGAAAATTAAGAAAAAAGAACACATGGGGTCCAGGAAACAGGGTTCTTACAAGAGAAAAATGAAAGAAATCCCACATGGCTTATAATGATTAATATTTGCTTAATTTTAATCATGCAGAATGTGGATTTAACAAAAAAACTGAGCTAAAATGATTGCATTTAGAGAGGATGAGAGTTGGTATAATTGAGTGAATATAGTAGAAATCGGAATATTTCTGAATCTGGTAAATCAAAGAGTGATATAGTCATGTTAATTAGACTCAGGGAGGAAGAAACAGCTTAATAAAGTAAGGATGGATGTTATGTTAAGTGAATCTTACCACAATTAAAGAAAAAAAAATGGATGAGCAGGAGCTGGATGATTGGTCAAAATATTTTGACTTTTTTTGTGGCTATATTTTGACTTTAAAAATAAATAAAAGTTTAAAATTAAAATAAGTAAATATGTGCTCATTTCAAAACATTTAATGCAGAAAACGTTTGAGGTATCAAAAGACAAAATTACAGTAAATTTAGTTTAAAGATTGGCTTTTATTTGTGTTTCTAGAATCAGGCAACACCTCATTCTGTTAAGTAGAATAAGTTTCCAGTGAGTTCAGCAGAAGAAGTTGGCTTTACAGACAGAAAAAGGCTGAGGAAAGCAGAAACAGTGGAAAGCAGATGGTCTGCCTTCAAAGTTACTTTCTCTCTCTCTCTCTCTCTCTCTCTCTTAGCAAAATATCACTGGCATCTTTTCACTTTAATAGGTATGGGATCTGCTTCATCATTTTGGATGTCTGCACAGAGTCTGTTGTACAGCTGTGCCGTGCTTGCTTCAACCACTCTCCTGGTGTTGGACATTTAGGTTCTTTCCGATTTGCCATTATAAACACCACCACAGTGAACATACGTGCACAGAGATCTTTCATGCATTTTGCTGATTATTTCCTGAGGATAAACTCCTGGATATAGAATTGCCAAGTCAAATATATGCACTTGAAATATGTTCTACTAGTTTACTTCAACAGCATTTATTTAGCATTTATGCAGCTGGAATTACAGATGATCAGGTTGGACAGACAAGGCACACATATCAGAGATTTATGATTTCTATGGAAATATGCCCAATGACTGATGTAAGTGATAAAACAGAAGGGACATGACCATGGCCTGCTCAGAGCAAACTTCATGGAAGCTATGGAACTTGAGCCAGTAATTAAACATGGGGTGAGATTTTTTTTTTTTCCTTTTTGTCTTTTCTTTTTTACTGACTGGTAACAGGATCGCAACCCTCGGCGGGAGCGCCACTGTGCTCCCAAGCGGCGCACTCTCCAGTGCGCCACCGGGCCGGCCCATGGGGTGAGATTTTGATAGGCTGGGTAGGGACAAGGCCAGGAGAGAATGTTGCTTATAGGAAGGCCATGAGCCCACCAGCCCTTAAAGTAATTTCAATCTTCCTAGCCTTTGGTGGCCACCTGTTATACCTCAGCCCATCTGCCATCACTAGTGGCTGAAAGACCCAAATATTCCAACCTTGCATGGTCGTCAAGAACCTGCCCCTGGTGAGAGCACTGGCAGAGGGAGACCACAGGTCATTGAGACACTTTGTAGCTTAGAGGAAGGAGAGCAAGTGAACAGTGAAATCAGAGGATTCCTGTTGGGGCAGACATAGTAGAAGAAACAGAAGAGAACTGAAAAAGATAAATAAAACCTTGAAGTGTCTAGAAGAAAATATAGGAGAAATCACAACCTCAGGGTAGGCAAAGATTTCTTGGATGAAACACAAAAAGCACTAACTGCATTTTAGTTTGCTATTGCTGCCATAACAAGTTACCACAAAATAACCACCTTGAAACAATACACATTTATTTTCTTATCCTTTTAGGTCAGAAATCCAATGTGCTTTTATCCTTTTAGGTCAGAAATCCAATGTGCTCATCTGGGTCTTTGCTTAGAGTCT